GCCAAGCACTGCCCTCCGTCGTGATGAGCTCGAAGTCATCGACGTCGTACTTGCCCGCGATGCTCGCCATAGCGGCGCAAAAACCGCGAAGGAGCCTCCTCTGGCAGTCCCCGCTGCTGCGGAGACTTCGGCAGAGGCTCCTGCGCGGCTCCAGTCGCGGAGGCGGGCGGGCGCGGCGGGAGGCAGACCTGCAGCGGCTGCGGCTTCCCTTTATCGCATTTCCATCCCTCCCTGCACTCACATGGCTTTTCCCATTGCGCCAGTCTGCTGCTCCCACTTCTGAACTACCTCATCCCTTCTACCTCCATCTGTACCCTCCTCTTCCTGTTCAATCCTCCATCCTCCCTCCACCGTGCTCATTTCTCCTTACTCCCTTCTCTGCTCCTCCTACGTGGGGCGTTTCACGACAACGACGACGACGATGACCACGACGGCGACAACGAGGGCGACGACGACCACGACGACGACGACGAGGACGATGGCCACGACGGCGACCAGCGACGACGACTAGCGACGACAACGACCGACGACGACGACGCCGACCACGACGACGACGGCGACGACGACAACGAGCGACGACGACAACGACAATCGACGCCGACGAGGAACGACGACGACGAACGAGGACGACGATTACGACGACGAGATGACGAAGGTTCGAAGATCGAACCTCGAAGTGCGAAGCTGCGAAATTCAAACTGCAACCTTCGAACTCCGAACTTCAAACTTCGAACTGCGAACTTCGCTGGGGTGCCAGGGATGCAATGGGATGGAGGGAAAAATGGGAAGGAGAGAACGAGGAAGCGGGAGAGGAAATTGGAGGAGAACGAACAGGCGTGGAGCGACGAGGACCGGGCGGCGAGGAGCCGACGTTGAGGGCGGCGGGATGGGGGGACAGGGAGGAGAGGGAAGACTTCTTTACGAAGATCGCGCCACGGCGCCTGCACGAGCGCTCCCGATCTCGGCGGCCGACGCGCGCGCCCCTGCAGAAATGCAACGCGCCCTTCATTCGAGCCCCGCTGCTGCTGCGGAGCCATCTACTCCGAAACCAAATCGTCTGGGGAGTTATTCGGTCCCAAAACTATTGTTTGCCACCCGCTGCTGCGGGCGCCGAGGGCCTGGTGCTGGACGCCGCGGCCCCGCTGCTGCGGGGCCCCTGAGAGGGCGTCGGCCTCCCCTTCTCTCTGGCGGCGTCGAACTTGACCTTACGCTCCACACCGAGGTCCTTGTACCAGCGAAAAGTTCCTGACCCGTCGCTCCCGCCCAAGCCCGCGGTTGGTGGCCTCACCGTGTCCGCGTGGGGGACGAGGGGCAGAGCTTCGACCTTCCTGTCGCCCCAGTGCGGGTGTAAACGGACGCCTGTCCCGTCGTCGCGGTGCAACACGAAATCCCACATCGGCAGCTTCACTTTCACCCGCTGCCCCGCGAACTGTCGCGCGCGCACAATACTCTGAAGCATGTGGTCGTAGCTGTTTGGCCGGACTTCGAGGGAACAGCCGATCAGAGCCCCGCTGCTGCGGGGCCCCTCCACGACCTCCCTGATATCTTCCTCCCTGAGCGTCGCCGCCATCTCTTGCCACCGCCAAGGGACTTCCTCGTCGCTTTTGAAACCAAAGCTCGTCCTCGCACCGTGGTCGCAAACAGCGACCATGGTGGGCTCCGCATTGTCAAACCACTTGGCTTCTGACTCGAACGGGGCAGTTGGGTCTTCATTCAGATGGCGCCACCATTTCAACGCTTGATTGTGTTGCTTAAACGAAGTGCCGAGCCTCTCTTCATAACTCAAAAAATAATTAACATCAAACTTCTCATAATCCTGGGGCCCGCGCGCCGCCGCCGCTGCGGTGGCGCGGGGCTCCTGCGCCGCAGGCGCGGCTCGGGATCCCGACCCCTCTCCTGAAACTGTGTTCCCAAGTTCTGGTACGTTTCGGGGGGCAGCCCTCACGAAATTATCGAATTCGGGCTTGCCGAGACCAGGGGCGCGGGGGCTCACAACGCTAAGCGCGGCGAAGCGAGACGGCCGTTGAGACGAGACCGCCGCCGCTGCTGCGGCGGCAGGGCCATCGCGCCATTTGGCGTCCTCCGTTGGCGTGTGCCCGTCTTGTCGCCAGTCTCTCCAACCCCTCGCTGACCAATCATGGCCGTCCTCCCCGCCACGCCAGCCGCTGCTGCGGCTATCCCACCATCCTCCCGCGCCATCCCATGTGTATCCGCCTGCATCGCCCATTGCAAGACGATGGCGCAGGCGCGCGTTAGGCCGCGACGGGCCCAGCTGCACCGGTGCTCGCGGGCGATCCCACGGGCGCGGGGTGGTTTGAGCATAGCTGCGGCGGACGACGCGACGTGATTGGACGGCGGAGAACTTGAAAGGAAGGGGGGTTGGAAACGAATGAACGAAGTGGACGAAGAGCGGAAATCGAACCAGAGGGAGGCGAAAAAAGAGCGGAAAAGAATAATGACATGCAGACGAAGGAGAGTGACGAGGTAGATGGCGGGCCAGAACGGCAACGGAGGATAATGTGGTGGAAATTGTGAAAAGGACGCATGGAACAACACGACGAGGATCACAGACGCAAAGATGATGAGCGCAGTGGTAGCATGACATTTCCGAAATCAAGAAGCAGGATGAGGAGGAACGGGATGACGAGCAACTCTGTCGCAGAGAGCCTCCGAACGCACCCCCTCTGTCACAGAGGGCCTCCGAACGCACCCCCTCTGTCACAGAGGGGGTCCGAAAAACACCCCCTCTGTCACAGAGGGGGGAAATGATCACTTTAATGCGGCTTCTGGATTATTCTGGCGAATCCTGACGCTTCCCAGAGAGATTTGGGTGGGAAGGTGGCGCCGCATCGCCGATGCACCGGCGACGCTGGAGATGCATCGGCGCCAGCGTGGAGACCGTCGGACTCTACATCGCGCCGCATCGCCGATGCATCGGCGATGCGGCGCGGTCCTCCGACCCCACCTGCTCGGAACCCCGTCCTGGGGGGCCCAGAGCCAGGTGGGGGGGGGGTCACCGCGATGGGGAGCGCCGCCGCCTCCAGGTTGCGGTGCCCCGGCACCCCAGGAGCCCCGCTGGGACCCCCCCAGGTCTCCCACGTGCGTCCAGCGCCTCCTTCGATGGGGGGAAAACAAACCTACCTCGCTTTTGACACCCCTCGCTTCCAAGAGATACCAAACGATGCCAAACTACGGCCTGTACTGGTCAGGCCGCTTGACGAGGAGGTGCGTGGAATGGCTTGGTTTTGTCTGGAAGCGAAAGCGGGGTAGGTAATTCACGCTCTGATTCGAGGGGGGCGCCGCTGGCAATCGTCCGCAAGAGGGCCTTCGCAGGCTGGGCCGCTCCAAGGGCTCGAGCCTCGGCGCATGCCGGGCCCTGGCCAAGCCTGGGGGTCCCGGCTGCGGGCAGGACTTCTACCTGGCGGCGCGCACGGGGGGGTTAACGGGGAAGGGGGGAAGGCTCGGGTCGGGGGGAAGGGGGGGATAGCAAAAGGGGGAGTTTGAGAATCAGCTCACCCCCCCACGTAGTGATTCTCCGGCGCCTCACTAGGGACCAGGAGGCGGCCTTGTATCGTGGATTGGGCCCTTCGGTTGTGGACGAAACCAGCTTGCATGCAGCAGATTTCGTACCCCCCCCTTTCTCAATCCCCCCCTTTCGCCCGGCCCGATCTTAGAAGGAGGCTGCGTCTTAGAAGATGCCGGCCCTACATATAGGTCGGGCCTGTCCCCCTACAGGGGGATTTGTGAGGAAAAATCCGAAATGGTCCAAACAAATTGCAGAACAAGTCTCAAAAATACAAAAAAAAATATCCCCAGATCATTTTTCACTGTTTTTGCATTCCTCCTGTAGAGGGACACGCCCGACTTGGCCCCACATTTGCAGACAAGGCCCGCCTCTTCTGGCGAGGGGTGCTTCCAAGAAGCCTCCCCCCCTTCCCCTGCCACCCTGTGCGCGTGGCCGATACACATTCATGTCCACTGTGTCTCGGACTTTCTGGGAAGGGGCGCTGAAAAGACTGAGGATGGGCCTGTTTTTCACCACCACGACCATCAGTTGGAGGGGGAGCGGGTCCTCCTCCTCCTCCTCCTCCTCTTCTTCGTCCTCCTCCTCGTCCTCCACCTCCTTCACCCCTCCAACTGGTGGTGGTGGTGGAAAATAGGCTCCGCAGACTGAGGCACAGTGGATGTGGATAAACAATCTAGCCTCTGTGGGCCATATTGTTTTGCCCATATTCACTGCGTCTCCGGCTTTTCGGAAGGGAACCCGAAGCTCCAAGACGCAGTGGATATGGATACATACTTTGCCCGCACCATCATCCTCGCCCTCCTCGATCCTCGAGGGCTCGAACTTTACGCTGCATCTTCGGGGGGCTTTGTCTGTCCCGTCGCGCCCCTATCCACGTCGCATCCGTGTCGGATCCATGTCAGACTCGTCGAATCCGCGTCAAATCCACGCCGCATCCGCGTCGAGTCCACGCCAAATTCGCGTCGAATCCGCATCGAGCCCACGTCGGGCACAAGAAAAGCGACCAATTATGGGGACAAACGAGGTCATCCGAAGACGCAACATAACGTGTGTCTCAAACCATGTGCGGTTCTGCAGGGGGTAACTACCTCCCCGGGGGTCTTCGCAAGGCCGGATTGCAGGACCGCAGAGCCGGATTTGCCAAGACGAAGCCCGGGATTAAGCCAGCCCAGGCCCAGAGATTAAGCCGGCCCCAGCCGGAGTCCGCGACATTAAACTGGACGATGTCAGTGTGGGCCAGTTGTCGACCACGGATATACCAGCGCCGTCGACCCCCTGGAGCTGCATCCTAGCATTCGGGGCGTTTGATTGGGTGAAACGGAGAACACCAGGAGGGCCTGCGCCCTAGCTGGGCCTCTCGGAGGCTTGGTGACGGAAGGTGCTTTCCCTGTCCCGAGGGCCAAGAGTGCTCTTGCCAGCTTTGCTCCGACTCCCGCCCTGGTGAGGGGAAGTCCAGTTGGCTTTTTTCTGCCGCCGCGTTCAGGGCGTCCAAGATTTTCATTATGTTGTGCATCATCCACTCGGACTGGTACTGCAACTTCAACAAGTCCAAGGTCTTGGCCTCGCCGGTCAGTCGAAAGCAGCCGAGCAAGAACTCGGTCATGTTGATGTAGCCCTTTCGGTCGCGGTCCAGCAACAGGAAAAGGGTTCGCACGTCCGTGACCTCAGGAGCCAAGAATGGGGAATACAACATGTACCCATACCACTACTCCATGGTCCTCTCCCGGGGTGCGTTCTGACTGAAATTTCGAGGCAATTCCAGCGGGGGCGACGACAGCCTCCGAGACGGCCCAAAGCGTCGAAAACGATGCAAGGGTACGGTAGGTTCGCGTCGTGTCGACCAGCGGCGACCCCAGCGCGGACGTTCAAGGTTGAACGCCGCCGGCGACTAAGAATCGATCGATGTTGAACGATCGGACGTTGCGGCAGCGGCCGATCGTTCAAGGTTGAACGATCCCTGCGGTGTCAAAAACCAACGCTGGGGTCGGCACGACACGAACCTGCCGTAGCGGCATGGATGCCGGTGCACTTTAAAACAAAAAACTGCAGCCGCTTGGCCTGGCTGCCTCCCTCTGGGGGGGCGGGGCCGCCCGCCCGCGGCCGAGCCGACAGGAGGAGGGATGAGGAGGAGGAGGAGGAGGACGAGGAGGAGCAGGAGGAGGAGGAGGAGGGAGGAGGAGGGAGGAGGAGGAGCGAAGGAGGATGAGGGTAGGTGGGGAGGAGGAGGAGGGGAGGAGGAGGAGGAAGGTGAGGAGGAGGAGGAGGAGGAGGAGGGATGAGGAGGTGGGAGGAGAGGAGGGGTGAGGGGGAGGAGGAGGAGGAGGAGGAGGAGGAGGAGGAGTGAGGAGGAGGAGGAGGTGCCTCATTGTGCGTGCCGGCGCGAGGTCATGGCCGCTGGGGTTGCGGGGTTCGGACCATGGGGGGAGGTGCGGAAAGGGGCGGTGTCCTCAGCCTCGGTTGCGGCGGCTTGCCTCGTCTTGCTGGGATCCTCCCACTCCTCATCCTGCCTCATTCCTCCTCCTCCCCTCCTCTCCTCCTCTCCTCTACCTCCTCCTCCCTCCTCGCCTCTTCCTCACTCCTCCTCCTCCTCACTATCCCACTCCTCCTCCTCATCCTCCTCTCCTCCTCCTTACTCCTCCTCCTTCTCCTCCTACTATAACTCCTGAATCCTCACCTCCTTCCCTCCCTCCTCCCTCCTCCTCCTCATCCTCCTCCTCCTCCTCCTTCCTCCTCCCGTTATGTCTACCCCTAGCCCAGGCCTCGTGGGGTCTCGCATGGACCTGGCAGTTTGGGCCCGACTCAGGAAGATACGATAGGGGGGCGTCCATCCTCGATATGGGTAGGTTCGAATGGCCCCCCGAGGGTGTATCCCCGAGTGTCCGTCCTCTTCTGAGCGGCTTGACCCTTCGTGGAAGAGCCGGGGGTGGGGGGCGAACAAAAACACCTGCGATCTTCTTCGCCCACGATGGCCTCCACCTCCAGCGCGTGGAAGCTGCTGACCAGGTCCTTGCTTAGCTGCCCCAGAACGCAACACGCAACCAGTAGCGTGTTAACACGGAGCTGAACACGTAGACTGAATACGGCGGGTTCGTGTCGTGACGACCCCAGCGTTGGTTTCTGACGCAGCGTGGATCGTTCAAGACTGGATACGGCGGGTTCGTGTCGTGACGAACCCAGCGTTGGTTTGCGACACTGCGTGGATAGTTCAACCTGGAACGATCGGCGGCTTATCGATTGCCAGATCGTTCCATAATGGGCCGACTCTGGGCTATTGGCGGCGTTCAACCTTGAACGCTCACGGCGGGGTCGCGGCGAGTCGACACGACGCGAACCTGCCGTGCGCAGGTCTGGAGCGATACGTTCGCCAAAACGTGGGCCAACACGGTGAGCCAACACGCAACGTGTAAACACGGACGTTTTGAACATGGTACGTGTTGCGTCTCGAGACGGGCGCGTCGAGGCACCCGAGGGTCCTTGCTCGAATCGCACATGGCGTCCTGCATGCCCTCGAGGGTAAGGGTGCCATCCCTGGCCGTGTCCAAGTCGTGGAATAGGTCGCTCAGGCGCTTGATGACAGCCACCCTGTCGATAAGCAGTAAGACTACCCCCGACCCTACAGGAGGGGACCTAAGTAAGAGGGCCAAACACATTCGGGGCACAAGGGGCTCTTTTCAGCAAGCGGATCAAACCAAAACGCGCAGATATGCTATCCTTAATGCAAAGACAGGGACCTCAGTGAGGCCACGTCGTCACTGTGTTAGTCCCCAATCAGAGCTTGCCTCTGTAGCCTGGTGGCCTGGCCGGGTGCACGGGTGCCCGGATGCCCGGGTGCCCTATATCCTTACAGCCCTATGGCCCTAGGTAGCCCTATTATAGCCCTATGGCCCCAATAACCCTATAGTCGCATGGCCCAACAGCCCGACAGCCCAATAGCCCTATAGCCATATAGCCATGTAGCCCTACAGCCTAATAGCCACATAGCCCTATAGCCCTACAGCCCTATAGCCTTATAGCCCTATAGCCCTATAGCCCTGTAGCCATATAGCCCAGTAGCCCTGTAGCCACATAGCTCTGCAGTCTTATAGCCCTATAGCCCTGTAGCCCTATAGCCTTATAGCCATATAGCCCAGTAGCCCTATAGCCCCATAGCTGTATAGCCCTATAGCCTTATAGCCCTATAGCCGCATAGCCCTATAGCCCTAAACAAATCAGATTGGGTATTCTCCGGTATCATTAGGGTACAGGGGTTCTTTTGTTCTCGATGACCTCTTCTCCGAGGCGAGCTGCTCCAGCGTGCTGCTGTCGCTACTCGCCCACTGGCTGGCTATCTCCACGAATCCGCCACCGTGGCCTGGCCACGTTGCGAGCTTCTCGAAACCATATTGACTGTCTTGTAAGCGCACCCCCACCCTCGCAGCAACTCGGGTAGGGGGCCGCCCCCTGTACGACAACTCCTAATCGTCCCGAGAGATCTCCAAGATGGCCTCGACATCCAATGGGACGGCCGCAATCCAATATCAGTTGTTCGAACGTGCACTGTGCGACAGCGTGGTGGTGGTGGGCAGGAGCAAGGGATGACGGATTTGGTTATCTTGAGTATCTACGTAGTCTTCTCTTAGCTTGAGTACTCTCTGAGCTTGAATACTGTGTAATCCCTCAGCTACATTCACGCCATCCCTAGCTAAATCTGAATTCGACCATTCACTTTTTACTCCCTAGCTGGTCACATGTGCCATCGCCCCCCAAATATTGACACTCTACTCTCTGCACTCGATGCCAACACGACGATGCTGGTGCTGGTGCCGCGGCTTCCCGTGCACAGGGCGGCCGCGCGGCAGGCGCTGGCCCAGGTTCCCCGGGCATCTGAGGAGGCGGAGGAGGAGGAAGAGAAGGAGGAGGAGGAGGAGGAGGAGGAGGAGGAGGAGGAGGAGGAGGAGGAGGGGGAGAGGGAGGAGGGAGGAGGAGGCGGAGGCGGAGACGGAGGCGGAGGAGAAGGAGGAGGAGAAGGAGGAGGGAGAGGGAGGGAGGGAGGGAGACGCTCTGTGCCGCGGTCGGCCGCGAACTTGATGCGGTGCGGAGGCGCCCTCTGGTCGGGCTCCCACGGGCGACGCTCTGGTCGCGGATGCGGGTCGCGGGCTCCCGCCCGCCCCCCGGGGGGCGCAAGGGCTCTCGGCCTGGGCGGCCACGTGGACAGCGCCGGCGACCCCCCGGCAGGCCCCGAGAGGCTGCCCCGCCTTGACCCGCGAGTCAGCCCGCTGGTGCGCCACGAAGCATCACCCCAAACATGCTCAAAAATAGTCCAAAAATAGTAGTACCCAGACTATTTTTCCGTATTTTTGCATATCCCTCCTGTAGAAGGACAGGCCCGACTTAATCTTAGTGGGCACTTCGGCCGCTGCGAGGCCCCCGGAGGTCGAAACACGCTAAGGAGGGCTGCCGCAGCCTCCACTGCTGGAGGCTTGGAAACTGACACCAGCACCAACACAGGGCGTTGCCTCCACCAGGGGCAGATGATCCTAGATCTCGGCGTTGGCGGTGCTCCTTCGGCCGCCCAGGAAGCCAGAGTACCACCACCATCGCGGAGATCGGCATCGTCTTCCCTCGGTGGAGGCACACCGCCGATCCTGGGGCTGGCGTCAACCCCTGGGCCTGCGACCCTGGCCCTCCCCCGGGGCTGCCGGGCAAGAAGGTGCCCAGAGCCCGCCGGCGCAGCTCCCGCGAGCGCTGCGGCGCTCGTCTCTTCCCCCGGGCTCGGCCGTCCGCGCCCGGGGTGCAGAAGCCGTGGATGCGCCTTCGCCCAAAGACGGGTCGGAGTTGGGAGCACCGCAGAGGAGGAGGAGGAGGAGGAGGAGGAGGAGGAGGAGGAGGAGGAGGAGGAGGAGGAGGAGGAGGAGGAGGAGGAGAAGAGAGAGAGGAGGAGGAGGAGGAGGAGGAGGAGGAGGAGGAGGAGGAGGAGGAGGAGGAGGAGGAGGAGGAGGAGGAGGAGGAGGAGAGAGAAGGAGGAGGAGTTGGAGGCGGAGTTGGAGGAGGAGTTGGAGGAGGAGGAAGAGTTGGAGGAGGAGGAGGAGGAGGAGGAGGAGGAGGAGGAGGAGTTGGAGGAGTTGAAGGAGGAGGAGTTGGAGTTGGAGGAGGAGGAGGAGTTGGAGGAGTTGGAGGAGGAGTTGGAGGAGGAGGAAGAGTTGGAGGAGGAGGAGGAGGAGGAGGAGGAGGAGGAGGAGGAGTTCGCAGGAGGCGCGCTGGGCACAGATGCTGGGCATGGCCCTCGAACTCGTGGTTGGGTCTCCCCTGCCCAGCCAGTTGGGGGCCACCGGGCTCGCACACAGGGCAGGGAAGCCCGCGGCCCGCCTCGCAGACCCTGCTTCGCGCGGCCGCCTGGCCCGAACAGTGCCGCTGTTCCCTGGATATCCCGCCTCGTGCCTTCGGCGAATTACTGACTACCTACCAGACCACCCCAACCCAACCCGAAGACCCGAATTTGACCCGAATTTCGGGTTGGGGGGGGTACGGGTTCCATGTGTTTTTTCAATGTTCCCCGACCCCTCCCAACCGGAAATGGAGGGCAAATTGAAGCCTTCGGGTTGGGTTGGGGTGGTTTGGTGAGTGGTCAATTGCGACTGCATGCCGCGGCCGGCAGACCCAACGTGTGCGGGCACTCCCCGGGGATCCCGCCTCGTGGTCTCGGGCGGGGTCGCTCTTATATCATAATCAACATGCTGTCAGAGCCTGCGGAGGCCTGCCCCAGGACAGGCGCAGACAACACCAGCATCAAGTAGAGGACGAGGACGACCACCAGCACCGAGAAGAGGAGAAAAAAGGAGGAGGATGAGGAGGAGGATGAGGAGGAGGAGGCAATACCGCACCCACGTCGGCGCCGAGTACGAGGGACTGGATAACGCGGCCCATCTTGAGCACCCTATTCGAAACTGCCGAACCACAGCGTGCGCGTGCCCAGCAGGCGGAGCAGGAGCCGCGAGAGCGAGGAGCCTTTCGCCCGGCTCGGCGAGGCCTCGAGGAAAAGACTCGGCGAAGCCGTGGCGACGCCCGTCGGCGGAGGCGCCCGGGCAACGGCGGGCGCCGCGAGCCCTCCGATCCCCCGCGGCCCCTCAAGGCTGGCAGGCAGGAGACCACCAAAACGAGAGCAACGACACTCACGAGAACAACGACAACGCGCCAGGCCCGTGCTGGGGGTCTGGCCGTGCACCGCGGCCCTGGCAGCCGCGCGCGCCACCGCGCTGGAGTCGCACCACCGAGACTCGGCGGCGAGCGAGGGGGGGGGAAGTGAGAAGGAGGAGGGCTTCTCAGAAGGCGGCGGGACTTCTCGGAGGCCCTCGCGCCTTCTGAGGAGTGCTTGTCTGTCTTCGGGGGAGGCTCAGGAAACTTCTCAGGAGGCCGGGGGACTTCCGAACCTTCTGAGAAAGCCTTCTCCTTCTCACTTCCCCCCAAGTCGTACAACAAAGCGTCCATCATGCCAGTGCTGGAACAACAGTTTGGTCCGCGGACGTGAATGAAGCGATCCACGAGTGTCTGGGGAAATCGTCCTGACCCCAAAAATATAGCGTAAACGCGTGCCCTCAGCGCAAAGAAATCGTCGACCCTGTCCCAACACAGAATAGAGATGTCTTGCAGGTCAATGTCACCGTCGAGCACGATGAGAACCATACGCATTCACAGCAACACCTCGGAATCCTGACAAGCGTTGAATTGCCTGAATGTGCTGCATATATATATATACACACTCTGAAACATGATGGTGAACTAATTTTGTGCGTGGGCAAGTCTATATGTTTAGTTGTACGTGTACGGCTACGTGCGTCGGTGTTGGCCGTTCCTCTTCTGGCTTATCATCCCACCTCGGTGTGGCCCATCGAAGACAGTGTGTGGTATCTCAAGTCAAATATCGGAATCTAGTTTTCCCTTTCTTTCCAAACCAGCCGTGGAGATCGTAGCTATCGGGGGAGATGTGCATCATGTTCAAGCGTGGGCGGCAGAGCTAAGTCGGCACTATCGCAACGAGTGGCTGGGCGTCGCAAAAATTTAAAATTGAATTGACGGTTGCTCGGGGACTCGGGCACGAAACTGCATGCTGAATTCAATGCATCTGGGATTAGGGCAATCACGTATCTCATGAAGAGTATACTTAACCTTGACTGGGGCTCGGGGGTACCATTGTCAAGGCTGGGCACGGACACTAGATTGCACCAGCTGGCTATTCTTACAGTCGTGGTGGCATGTGCGAGCGGGCTAGGGCGACGCATCTCCGTGTGAGAACCCAGCCAGGAAGAGAAGCGGTGTTGGAGGCGCGTGTTTCGTCTAGTCCCTCACGTACGTACGGGTGGTCTGCTTGGGTGAGTATGCTGTACGTAACGCACAAGGAAGCATGACATGGGCAAGACACCCGTACCTTCGGCGATCGCCCGACTCACTGCCCAGGCGATTAATGGGCGCCCTGCCGTGAGTTGGTGGATAGATATAAGGAAATCATTGGCGTTCTGGCTCGAGGGCTGCGCAGGCTTGCATTTCAGACACATGTCCTCAACTGAAGAGGACAGCCGTTGCCTTGAACAATCCATCATGAACGTGTTTGTAGCTCGCATCATGTGCGTATGGGTGGAAAAAGGATGCTATCAAAAGCCCCATATGTACCAACTACTTACCTATACGACCTCCGGGTGATAAGGAGGCTCAGGGGGGGAGGAACCAACGTCTCACTCGATCGGTCTCACTATCGATCTCACTATCGGTCTCGCTCGATTGATCTCACCCGATCGATCTCACAATCGATCTCACTCGATCTACTTCATTCGATCAATCTCACACTCGCTCTGACGATCGATACCACAATCGATTTCCCTATCGGTCTCAGTATCGATATCACAACCGATCTTACACTCGGTCAAATTATCGATATCACTATCGGGATCACAATCGATATGACAATCAACGTCATCATCATTAACATCATCGTCACCAACGGCATCAACATCATCATCATCACCATCAACACCATCAACATCATCGGGGCACCATCGTCATCACCTCATCACCATCATCATCAAGATCATCATCATCACCATCATCATCGGGGCACCAGCATCGTCACCATCATCATCAACATCAACATCATGATCATCATCAAGGGGGCACCATCATCGTGGTCGGAACACCACCACTATCATCATGCAATCATATGATCATCATGATCGTGAGCAACATCATCAACACCATCATCATCATTGGGACACTGTCATCACAATTAACAACATCAGCATCATCAACCGCATCATCATCGAAACACCGTAATCATCGTCACCATCATCATCATCATCATCACCACCATCAACATCATCGGGACACCATCATCATGAACGTCAGCATCATCATCACCATCATTGGACCACAATCATCGAAATCATCATCACTTCATCCTCATCCTCATCATCAACATCATCATCATGGGGACACCATCATCGTCATCATCATCATTATCATCATCATCAGGACACCATCATCATCAACATCATCATCAACAGCATCAACATCAACCTTATCATCATCAGCATCGGGACACCATCATCATCATATTCGTCATCCTCAAATCATATGAGCATCATCAACATTATAAGAAACATCAAAATCATCACCATCGGGGCCCCATCATCATCATCATCATCATCATCATCATCATCATCAGCAACCTCATCATCAACATCATCATCAGGGCACCATCATCATCATCACCATCACCATCATCATCAACATCGTCAACATCATCATCACCCTCAGGACACCATCATCATCACCACCATCACCATCATCATCATCATCATCATCATCATCATCATCGTCAACATCATCACCATCACCATCACCATCACCATCATCGTCATCATCATCATCATCATCATCATCATCATCATCATCATCATCGCGACACCGACGGGACACCGGCGGGACACCGGCGGGACACCGCGCGCCACCGGCCCCCGATCGAGCGGGACACCGGCGGGACACCGCGGGGCACCGGTTGCCGGAAGGGAAACTTTTGGTCCGGCCGCGCCTCAGCTACAGGAGACTTATTTCTCGCCCGCCCACGCAGCTTCGCCTCGCCCGCACGCACGGCACGCACGAACACGAAACCGAAACCGATTTCCCGGTAGGGGGGCTCTCCGTTCCACTTCGATCTCACCCCCTCACCTCCGAGTACTCTGGATTCGATACTGAGCTATCCTTCTCTCCGTATACGTGTATACATACATTTATGTCATGCACGCCCTACCATCTACATTACTCATAATTTCTCTACTCTCTCAACTGCCCCTACTCTGTGTAGTCTGTACCCTAACCCAAGAACCTGGCCGCTGGATCTGCAACCGAGAACCAGGTAACCAGGTCGCCCCTCCAACTCGGCCGCAAACTTTCGGCAAGTCCTTGTAATACCGGGAATCTGGGCACAGAACCCGCAATCCCCAGTCACCCCGGAACACGGCCGACCACTGAAGTGGACCAATTACTTTCGCCAAAGTTTCCAACATCCTTGAGGATCCCTTCTGTGCGTACACTGAGTTTGGGAAATTCGGTCAAACCCATGTGAGACGTCAAGATGCCCCGCAGATGCCCCAAGAGGCCCGAAGGAGCCCCGAACAGGCGCCCAAAGAGGCCTCCAGCGAGGCCCTCAGAGGACAAGAACAATGAACAAGCAGAGAAATCGCAAGTTTTCCGTCCCGAGGCTTTCGAAACACCACTGATCCAGAAGAAGGGTCCAAGATACAGAAAAGTTTGAGAGAGTCCGAACAAATCCCCAAGAACGCCCAAAACGGATCCGAGAGGGCCCCAAATCGTGCCAAGAGCCCACCAAGACGGCCCAAAACCCCCCAGAGCCGCCCCAGACGACTCTACTATGACATACCAGCCACTTCTGAAAAGACCTCGGAAGAACCATGGCGCCCAAGACGCCCCGAGAGCTTCCATAAGCTCCTAAGAAGCGCTCGAGAACCCCCAGGAGACCACCAGGAGAGCCCCAACATGCCTCCAAGAAGCCCCAAAAGAACCCCCAAGATGCCTCACGTACCCCCCCTCCAAGAGACAACGGAACACTTCTATAACGTTGCGGCGCCCATGCTACAACACAGTTGCGATGCTTCTCCAACTGCCAGGGTGGTTCGACAAAGCCTGTCGAGATACATCGCGAGAATCATCCTGGATGCATGCCCGTGCTGGGTTGGCACGGTGGCAGGGTTTGCCGCAGGCAACTGTGGATATGCCAGTAACCACATTTGCCGCACCGAAGATGGCGAACAGGACAAAGAATAGGAAGACGAATCGAAAGTGCAGGTCCAGGGGTGACAGGGCATCGAAGAGCACCCCCCAGTTGATACCTCCAGACATCGCCTCGAACAACGAGAGTGCGCAGCGATAAAGGGTTCCAAAATAGCGGCGCAAGTCCGCGCTCGAGCTGTCATCCCACAAATCGTTATCCCGCAGGTGGTCTGTCACGCCCTGAGTGAAGCACAAACCAAATACAAAGAACATGCCCGTGAGGATGATGGAGGCCCATAGAAGGGGCCGCAACGAGAACATGATCGACCGGATCATGACCCGCAGCTGCGAGAAGAACCTCAACTGCCTGACGGAACGTAGAAATCGGATGACTCGAAGGACTCGGAAAGTGCGCAAGCCGGACACTTGAGACCAATCCGAAGAGTTCTCCTGCTGAGCCAAGCTCCCGAAGTAATCCAATACCATCAACACCACCACAAACAAATCGAAGTAGTTCCAGGATGCGTCGTCCCCGACCCAGAAGGAGCAGCCCATAGCGTACATCTTCATCGCCAACTCCACAGTGAATACGATGCAGAAGAAAGCCTCCACCTCTAGAGGCTTCCTAGCTGAGGTCGTAGTAGATGGAGTCGGAGCATCGCGCCTCGTTGCCGATACATTGGCGATGCGTCGGCGATGCATCGTCGACGTCGGCGATAAATCGGCGACGTCGAAGTGAAGCAAATCGGGCTCCTCATCGAGCCGCATCGGCGATGCATCGGCGATGCGGCGCGATCCTGCGACCCCATCTACTGCAAGTTCGTGTCGTGTCGACCCCGGCGTTGGTTCCCGACACCGCGCTGGATCGTTCAACCTTGAACGATCGGCCGTCCCCGCAACGTCCGATCGTTCCACATCGATCGATTCTGGGTCGCCGGCGGCGTTCAACCTTGAACGCCCGCGCTGGGGTCGCCGCCGGTCGACACGACGCGAACCTACCGTACTCCGACCCCATCTAAGAGACTTGGAACCTCGACGGTCATCGGCAGCTTCCTCCGTGTCTGGGCCTCGTGCTCCACCTGCAGGCCCAAGAAAACAGCGTTTGCGATGATCCACCGACCTCCGTGGGGGCCACCGGCGCGCGGAGCCTCTCCCGACCAGGGCTCGACCCACACAGTGTTTGACGTCTTCGTGCTGGCCTCGTGCTCCTCCGTGTGGCCTTCCTCCCTCAAGGGGCTCAAGGACACACAAATAAATACACACAAATAAAAATATTCCCCATATTTTCCAATATTTTCTGGGTTTTTGTCTTCCCCCCACTTCCCATATTTTCCCATATTTTCCTGGGAGTCGACGATTAATTGTGTCTGTGTGTTTTTTCCCCTCCTCACTCCCGCCGTTGCTCCAAAACGGCATCGAGACGAAAATCGGCTCACGGAAGTACTGGTCAAGCACCGGGGGAGGAGGCAGGACATGCGCAGGACAGGTGAACAGAGGGGAAGGTGACAACCATGCGGAGCAGAAGGAGGAGGGGGAGGAGGAGGAGGAGGAGGAGGAGGAGGGGGAGGAGGAGGAGGAGGAGGAGGAGGAGGAGGAGGAGGAGAAGGAGGAGGAGGAGGAGGAGGAGGAGGGGGAGGAGGGGGAGGAGGGGGAGGAGGGGGAGGAACAGGTCGAGCCCTGCTCCACGCCCCGACCTAGCCCGGGTGGCCTGCACGCCTGGGGCCGCGCGGGCCGCGTCCAGAGCAGTCGCGCCGGGAGGGCACGGACGCCAAAGATCCGAAGGCCTCCGATGCGTAGCTGTCGTTGCGAACATGTTCTGAGCATTTTCTCAGGGTGGAGGGCTCAGGGTGAAATCCATATGGGCTTCTGCACCTCGAAAGTCAATCCGTCTTGTGATTCGCCTTTTGCGGATTCAGAAAAGCTCGGATGTTATCCGAAGATCCGTATCCTGCGGCGTGGCCGCCTCCGAGCCGCGTCCCCCCCCCATCCTCACATCCCAAATGGACTTCCGACGTAGCTGTCGTTGCGAACATGTCTTCCGAAGATCCGTGATCTGCGGCGCGGCCGCCTCCGAGCTGCGTCCCCATCACCCAATCCTCATATCCAAAATGCGACCCACTCGGACCCCGTCTGGGAGGCCTTGCGCAACGCCTGGGAGGCGTTGCGAGCATGTTATCCGAAGATCCGTATTCTGCGGCGCGGCCGCCTCCGAGCTGCGTCCCCCCCCCGCAATCCTCACGTCCCAAAGGGACTTCTCGTGTGTGATGCTTCTGCCCCCCGCGAAGGAACCTTGTCCGTCTCCTTGCACACACACCATCGGCCCTACCGTCATGATCATCACTCATCAGCGCACCCTGTCAATCACCAGTCACCATCATCAGCCCCATCACCATGATCACCAACGCCAGCACCATCATGATCATGATCGCCATCATCATCATCATCAGCATCATCATCAGCATCATCATCATCATCATCAGCATCATCATCATCATCGTCATCATCATCAGCAGCATCATCATCATCATCATCATCATCATAATCATCATCATTATCATCATCATCGTCATCATCGCACTCACGCGCTCAATCACATACCCCCACGCTCGCACACTGGCACACACACGCGCACACACAAACACATCCATCGTTGTCATCATCATCAAGACCATCATCAGCATCATCATCATGATCATCATCGTTATCCAATCATCGTCATAGTCACCACCCTTGTCGTCATCATCCGTATCATCATCATCATCATCATCATCATCATCATCATCATCATCATCCTCACCACCATCATCATCATCATCATCATCATCATCATCATCATCATCATCATCATCATCATCATCATCATCATCATCATCATCATCATCATCATCATCATCATCATCATCGCACACACCCACATCACACACACACACGCACCCTCATTCACGCTCTTACTCACGCTCTCCTAAATCCTCACACATGCACACACGCACACACACACACACTTCTTGGCGTCGCGGCACCGCGCGCTGAGGCAGGGCGGGGGAGAAAGTCGAGGAGCAGCAACCGTGCGCGCACGTCTAGGAGCGCCCGAGCCCTCGGAGACCGCACGCACACACACGCACCCACACACGCGCGCATGCAACCATCTACACACACCATCACCTTGAGGAGATCTCGAACGGGATTCCATTTGTGATGACCCGCGAGGAAGTATCCAGCGGGAGCCCCCTCCATATGGGGCCTGTGCTTCACGATGCCAGTCCAACGCGGTCACCGGCAAGCTCATCGGAATAAAGCTGTACTGTGATCGCCGGGTCTCCAGAACCCCATTCCTAGTTCTGATTTCGAATGTCGGGGAAGCCACTTCGTGATCTCCAGGCCCCCAGAACTTAACTCTCAGGATTCATTTTACATGTCCGGAGCCAACGGTAAGTCACTTCGGCCCCTTCGTGCTCCGAGAGTCCAATTCCTGGGGCTGACTGTGCACGCTCTCGGTTCGTTCGTGCTTCCAGAACTCCGCTCTAGGAATTGACTTTGAATGCCAAGAGCCAACAGCAAGCCACCTGTAAATCACTTTGGGCTTTTCGTGTTCCGTGTGTTCATGCACTCGTACTGATCAAGTATCGGGCGGGACCCTCGTCTGTGAGCCAGTTGCGAGGAAGTCTCAAGCGGGGGGTCACTCCACACAGTGCCCGCGCTTCATATTACCACTCCGAGGCGGCCACCGGCAAACGTTCACAACAAAACACATTGTCGTGTTATCGCCGAGTGGCCAAATTTCATCCCCAACACAAGCTTCGGGTGTCCGGACCCACAAGTACTACACTTCGCGCTCTTCGCGCTCCCAAAGCTTAACTACCAGGCTCACGTCCCTCGAGCTCACTACTCGTTCGGGATCGACTTTGCGCACGCATCCGAGCATGCTCGCACCCTGGCACTGTTGGCGCCCTGGCGTCACCAGCATCTCTGGTATCTCTGGCATCCTGGCATCCCTGCTATCGGAAGCATCCAGGCACCGGCCCCGCTGCTCTGACAGAACCTTATAGGTCTTGACAGTCGCGCCCCCACCCGCACACGAGCAGTCGCTCACACGATGCCACACCCACATGTGCGTCCGCTGCGAAGAGGACTCGAGCGGGAGCCCCCTCCCTTTGTGGCCCGAGCTTCCGATTAGCTATCCGTGGCGACCATCCGGATAGATGTAGAAACGCAGATTTGGCGACAAAAGGGAGCCAGGATCTCGAAGAAGCCTCGACCCGGAGCATCGTTCCTCGGCTGCCTGCGAGGATGTTCAAAGCGCTCGCATTGGAGCAAATTGCGAAAGCGTCCCGAGCGGGACCCCCCCACCTGTGGGGCCCCTGGCCCCCGCCTCACTTTTGCTAGTCTGAGGCGGCCACCGGCGTCGCCAACCTGAGGCGCACCCTGTCAAAACACACGCTCGGCAACGCCTGAGAGCTGCAAGGGAAAGAGAGGAAGAGAGAGAGAGAGGGAGAGAGAGAGAGAGAGGGAGAGAGAGGGAGAGAGAGAGAGAGAGGGAGAGGGAGAGAAAGAGAGAGAGAGAAAACGAGGCCGACGGCGAAGGCTCGCTCCGCCGAGCCGCGCGGCCGCGGCCGCGCGCCGACGCTCCGCGGGGCGACCTCGGCACGGCGGCGCCCGAGGAGGGCGCCCAGCGAGCTCCCGAACTCGAGCGCCTCCGAAGATGCGCCTGTATCAGGGGGACGTAAGACCTGGGTACAGGGGACTCGGAAATCCCCGACGAGGTCGTCAAAAAAATGACGAGGCCGAGCCTGCATTTTGACGAGGCCTCCCGCTGCAGACATCCCGCGAAACTCCTCCTCGTCAAAATCCGAGGCGCGGTCGTCAAAAAACAATGGCGAACCCGAGTCCTGGCAAACCCGGGTCTTACGCTCCCCCGACTGTGGCGCAGCGGCGTTCCCCCTGGACGGCGCCGTCCCCGTGGCGAGCTTGTTCAGCGCGCCCTTTACCCTTGAGGGCGGCACCGAGCACTCGCGGCCGAAAGATCTCGCGCGGCACGCCCCAGTAGCGCCGCGCGACAAGCAGGCCAGCGCGGGCAGCTCGCGGAAAGATTGGCCCTCGGCCCGCGGCGCCGCCCGCGCGGGCAGCGGGCCCGTCGACGGGCACCCGCAAAGCGCGCGGACGCGATCCAGTCGGGTCGGGCGAAAGGGGGGGATAGCAAAGGGGGGGTTTGAGAATCAGCTCACGTAGCTGATTTTCCCGGCGCCTCCCGGCGCCGGGAGGCGGCTATGTATCGAGGAATGGGCCCCTCGGTGAGGCCGAAATCACCTGCATGCCGCAAATTTCGTAACCCCCCCTTTCCCAATCCCCCCCTTTCGTCCGGCCCGATCCAGCGCCGCCGCCGCGATGCTGCCGGGGCGCTCCGACTCGCGCTCCATCGACCTGCGCGCGGCGCCCGGCCGTCTGCCCGCGGGGCCCCGCAGCTGGCATGCCGAGGCCGGCTCGCGTGGCGGCGCCTCGGCGGGCCGCGGAGCAGGGCGGCCTGCCTCGCCCCCCCTGCGCGTCGTGTCCTCGCCTCCCATGGCCGAGCCCGCCGCCGACGGCCGCGCCGCGACGCCCTCCACCGCGCGCCCGCTCTGCGACGGCTCCAGGCGGCCAGCGCGGAACAGCCCGGCGCGCGCAGGCAGTCGCGCGCAGGGGGCTCTAGCCCGCGCCCGCGGGAGATTCAAGCAGGGGCCAAGCGTCCTGACTCGCCTATAGCCCTACCAAACAATGTTCCAGTGGTTCCCACGCAATGTTCTTAGAACATTTCTGGCTGGGACTGTCTCGTTTTAGCACATCGGGTTTATGTTCTAAGAACATTGTTTTTGTTCTTAGAACATTTTCGGGTTCTAAACACATCTCGTGGTATGACTATAGGAATGCCGGGACGGTCGGTCCCTGCTCAAGATGGCGATCAGAACGCGATCAGATTTTCTTTGCGACAAACATGGGTGATACACGCCCGCGAAACATTGGATCCAAGGCAACTGCTGCGCAAGGCTTCCTCGGCGTAGGTGATATCCGCGCCCCTCCTGGGGCGCAGAACCGGGGCGTGGCGGCGTTTTCCAAGTACTTGCGTCCCGTGAACAGTCGCGCCCAGCC